AAATGGTAAGTCGCTGCTATATTTTTACATGTATGTGCGTTTGTGTGTGTGTTACAAGGCAAATAAAATAGAAATAATTTTGTTGATAGCAAATTTTCACCCAAAGTCACCATTGCACCATGAGACACCGTTGGTATTGGCCTCGCCAAATTAATGAAAGACAAAATCGTTTGTTTACTTGACTGTGGGTATCCTTTACCTTTTAAATTAAAAGTACTAGTAATTTTAACAAGTGTGTATGTGTAAAAATATTCCTATTAGAAGAATGTAAAACATTAAAGGGGTGAGCCTAAGCAAGCTATAGATTATGTGCTGTATGATCAAAAAAAGCAATTGCACATGTCTAAATACAGTAGATATTGGTGCAGTCATCTTGCAGAAATTTTCTCTATCACTTCATCATTATAAGTGTAAACAACATTCCTTTAATTGTTTTGCATGTACATGTATGTACATCCTAGGATATTGGGGTGAGCCTGAGTGACTCCCACTAAGACAAGAAAACGTCTGTCTGTATGTGCGGGCATGATAGGGTTGTCTAACATCTCTGCACCTTTCTCCAAATGGTCACATCTGTTTTTGCTTTCTTTGCTAAACTCTTTACCACAACCTAAACACACGAGTATGGGTGGTGCTCATTTTCAGGCTTCAGCCCTACCTATATGCATGCCACCAGCCCCACCTAGTGACACAAAACTACCTGCTGTACTAAACCTGACTCTCCATTTTTCTGCAAGATTTAGGCTCTGCCTGACTAGTGTAAACTCAAGAGGCACATGTACATGTAAGTGATTTTTAGACATTCCCTTGTTCAAGCAAAGGAAGTTACAGAAAAACGCTACATCTCTAAAGATATTAGAAAGCCCAGTTCAAATGTACTACATTTGGCAAGATTCTTAGCTTTTGATGCCTTGCACTACCATTTATACTTGATAAAGCTGGAGAAAGTAACTTTTTCGAGTGCATGGAGAAGAGCTCTCTGACTATAGAGGAACCCCTTCTAAAACCACAAAACCCCAAAGTGAGAGTTTGCTTCTGGACAAAATGAATGACAAATACCACATAGCTCTTGTGCATGCTATTCACTGGCAAGGCCAATAATCTCTTTGTATCTTATTTCATGATAGATGATCAATCACATGTGCCAGAATACATTGTAAATGGCCCTGTGGGCAGTATTGCCTATAGTACTATGAATAAAAGACTTGGAGAGCTACGGTTTGAAGCAACAAGAAAAATCGAGACAAAGGCAGAAAAAGTGTTAGATGCTCCGGGTATCGTAAATGACTTCTGTACGTTTTAAAACCCACTGGCCTTTAATAAAATATACATGTATTATTATTGTTATTTTTTTTAAGATTTGAATGTGCTCGATTGGAGCAGGAAAAATGTTGTGGCGGTAGGACTAAGCGAAAAGGTATATTTATGGAACAGTGAAACTCAAGAAGTGGAGCAAGTCGAAGGAATTGGATACGATGACGTCATCGTTACATCATTATCATGGGCAGATAAAGGTCGTTTTCTAGCAATTGGACTAGACAGTGGTCGAATACAGGTAGAGTGGCAGGAAATGATATTACTTTTATTATTATTATTAATAATTATTATTATTATTTATTATTCTTGTTATTATAGTTATATGATTATGATATTAAAAAAAAAATTCGGACATTGTGTGCTCATGCTAGCCGTGTGATCTGTTTAGATTGGCACCTACACCTACTAGCGAGGTATTTGTACTATAATCTCAGGCTCTCTGTCTCTCTTTATCTCTCTCTCTAGCATTTATTTTAATGTCACTCTTCTCTCTCTTTCCTTTCAGCGGATCGAAAGATGGTGAGATACAAGTGAATGATGTTCGATTGAAAGAATGTGTCATTTACAAGTTATACCACAAAATGGCGATATGTAGTCTTCATTGGTCACCTAATGGTTCAGTTCTAGCGTCAGGTTCTAATGACAATACAGTGTGTTTATGGAACCCATCAGTGAGCAACAGACCTATTCATGTATTGAATGAACACACTGCAGCTGTAAAGGTAAAGATATTAAGAGTAAAATTTACATGTGATCTTACTCTTCATGAAAATAAAGGATCTTTATATTTATGACAACTTTATGTGGTACTCTTGTTTTGTCCTGGATTGATAGGCAATGGCTTGGTGTCCATGGAAACCTCTTATATTAGCTACTGGAGGAGGATCGAATGACAAAACCATTAAGCTGTGGGATACAGCATTAGGACAATGTATCAAAGCTAAATGTGCTGAATCAACAGTATGTTCCTTTATAATATAATCACTCTCTCTCTTTCCTATGTATTTTTAGGTCACTGGTATTACATGGTCAGTTACACATCAAGAATTAATTACATCACATGGTTTTCCAAAGAACCAAGTGACTGTTTGGAAGGTCGAATCAGAGATTACTAAATTGGCCGAACTAAGCGGTCATAAAGGTCAGCCATTATCTCACTATCTTTTTTAATATTATTTTGTGCAATTGATCATTAATTTGTTATATTCACTTAAATGTATATACAACAGTATTTGTATAAATTGCTTTATTTATTTACTTTATTGTATTTGTATAACTTGCTTTATCTGTCTTTTTGTTAGATCGGATTTTACATATTTCCTTAAACCCCAATGAATGTCAACTAATAACAGGAAGTGCCGATGAATCGCTAATGATTTGGAATATTTGATTAAATGTACTTTTTCAATAAATTGAAGATAGATTTTTACCATTTTTAAAAATTATGTACTGTGTAAGATTACGTCATTGCATAATATATCTACCCTTTTATGATCCCTCTACTCGTGTTGAACTTCAACTTCAAAACTGATTTTATTTTATCATTAATTTTTCTAATTTCTATGCTCAGTATAATCCTATTAATCCACCCACGTGGAGTCTCATGGACAACTTGGCCATCCCACCAGCTGTGTCCATATCATTAGAGAGAGCTGGTTTGAGATCCCTATCTGAAATATTGGAGTATTCTAGCGGTGATTTGGTCCGTAGGACTGGATTAAAGGTGTATCAGGTCCAGGGGCTCATAGA